GCACAATGTGCATTGTGCTCTGCCATGACTTGATGAATTCTTAGAAATTTGTTTTGAAAATATGTTGACATTCCTCAACCACCCGCTGTCCACCCACTGGCATACTTATTAACCACATGAGGTCTTTATATAGCCAAAGTATTCCCATTTTTTGCTCTCTTCTGTTGAATAACTTTGGTAGTCAAATTTATCATTGCACAAGTGTGTGCATGTGTGTGTGTGAGAATGAGCTTTTTGAGAAGGTATGGCTGACTTGGGAATTCATACAATAATATATTTTAGAGATTAGCTTAATGGCCTTTGCTATTCTGCATACAGAGGCAAAACTGCAATTAATCTCTGTTATAATTATGTGACACTATCAAAGAGTTTTCAAGTATGCTAAAATTACTCAAACACAAATTCCAGTTGAGCTATTCTGTATGCATATATATCATTTACTTTGGCTATAGAATGCGAGGGAATTCATTCACAAGTTAAACATTAAGGCAGACAGATAGAGAGAGAGAGAGAGATAGAGAGAGAGAGACAGGGAGAGAGAGACAGATAGAGAGAGAGAGGGATAAAGAGAGAGCTTTGTCTTAGTCCTTGCTGTTCTAGGTAGCTAAGCATATTTGCAATTAATCTCAGTTTTAATTATGTGAAACTATCAAAATATGCCAAATTATAAAAAACTTTCTAGCACAAATGCATAGTATGTATATTTATCATTTACTTTAGTTTTAGAATTTTACTTAATATAAAACTCACGACTATATTATACTATGCTATACTGTATTATACTGTAATATAAAGTACCGTAATATTCATGAAACACATATGTAATTCATTTAAATATGCATTATTTCCCATTTGCCAGAGACAAACGAAGAAGTATTATATCAGTATGTAGAGGAGGTTAACAGTGTTTAAGCTGCTGGGTTATGTGATTCAAGCTCTAAAATTGGGATTAAATGCGTTTGCTTTCAATTTGCCAGATCCCTAGAAGACATAATATCATAATGCTTTTTATTATATTACATACAGATAATATTTGGACTATCTGTTAGTGAGCTGAGCCAGAAAATGGGGCGCATCCTTAAGAAAAATATTAATAACATTTTTATATTTAATTAATTTTTTTATAGACATGTTTACAATATATATTAAATTTCCCATAGGCAAACCCGCAGCTAAACTTATACTCCCTATACTTTACTTATAAGCAAAATCTTTAAAGCATCGATAAATACTGTTTCGCTTCACAAGTTGCCTTACTTTATCCAAAGTTTGTCTCACTTTTGCAGCTACCTCCTCACATCATAATTTAGCATAAAAAAAGAAAAGAAAAAACTGCAAGAGATGTTACAGCATCCGCTTTGCAAAGGTTTCTCTTGACATTTTGCCAACACTAGTTTCAAATTCTCTCTCCCTCTCCCTCACTCTCTCTCTCGCACTTGTTATGCAGAATTTTGTAACTTGCATCTCTGCATCGTTGTCTCATCTAATTTCTTTTTACCACTTTTTGGCTTTTGTTTTCACTTTGTTTTCACACCTTAGTGCAGCTTTGTGGCATTGAAAGTTGTTTAGCACTCACAAAGTGCGCTTTAATGGACTTTTGTTTGATTTGAATAGCATCGATTCATCAGCATAATTTCTTGGCTAATGGGGAATGATTTAGTCTAGCTCTATCACAGCCTTCCAGTGGAGTTTTGCTACATTTATTATCATCGCATCGATGGCCTTTCAATTTTCATTTACGCTGCACACCTAATTGCAGCAGCTCGATAGCAGCTTATCTTATCTATCCGATGCGGGTGCTTTATACTATCTACAGAGGCAATGCAATGTGTTCCATTCATCCGCCCCGCGCAACTCGTTTATATAGATCGGTTTAAAGGTCCCATCGTAATTAATTGCAAAACTTTTCGCATTGCACGACGAAAAATTTGAAAAGTTTGCTGCTTCTGCTGCTGCTGCAGCTTTGGATATCTCATTAACTGTTTGTGGCTCTGCAGCCATTGAACGAGCGATGAGTGCTGAACGCAATACACCTGCATGACTGTCAGATATCATGGCTAAGTACCTGATGGAATGGTGGAAATTTGAACTGAGCTCGAGAGCAAAGCAAAGAGATAAATGACAGAGACAAATTGCATGGAAAGCAAAAGCTTTATATTTCTTTTTTCCCAATTAAATCAGCTATGTTAATTCAAAAGCCTAATATACATAGTTTCAAAAGCAAATCAACTCTAGTCTAATGAAAATCAAAGCAAAAGACCGCATCCCAATTTGCGAATCTGTCGCGAAAGCTTTTCATTTGAGTTGCCCCAACTTAAGTTAACCACAGTATTCGTTTGACTCGGTTAGGAATTTCTGTCACTTGGTTCTTTTCCGTTGACTGTTTGTCGAGTGTCAGTAGATCAGGAGGAGGGAGACTGGCTGAGAAGCTAGAGCTGGAGCTGGAGCTGGCGCTGGCGCCGCTGCCATCAAATTATACGAATTTGCTATGCACTTTGTCTGGCAAAATTCGAGGACAGAAATTTTGGCAGCTGGCGCTCAAACCATAAGCCTGAAGCTTTTGCTGCCTATTTTTTGTCGTAATACTCTTTGCATAGTATAGAATGGGTGGCTACAAAACACAAAGGAATGAAGGCAATTTTGTTTTTTATACAAGTGTTGAGTCCATACTACAGCATTCTGTGCTATAGAGTACTTAAAAGATATTTATGTATGCAAAAGCAGGAATCTTTCGGATCAGCAATAATCATAATGCTTATCTATTTCAAAATGCATTTTAAATTGGAATATTTCGTTTGTCCTATACCCTGGGCTGCCCAGTATTTCATTATAGAGTAACTGCTAGTCAGGCATATGCATGTCTGCATATAGATATATACTGTTAATCTATTCAATATTCCAAGCACAGCTCTATTCGAGTAAAACACAGATATTTAATTTATTCTGTGCCGCCTAATATTTGCATATACAGTAGGATATATTGTAGTATATAGAACATAGTAGAAAAACTGTCATGAATATATATAATATATTCGATATTCGATATATCGAGTGGAGTTTTTATACATTTTGCCTATTAAATAGGACATTTGAGGTAATTTCTATATATTTTCTATACATCTAGCAGCTACAGGGTATCTGCTAGTCATGCATATACTTCTACATTTAAATACTGCTTATATATTCATTAGACCAAGCACTGCGATAATTTCTTAACTCTATCGAGAGTAACTCAGTCGGCAGTGGATCTCACTCAAGCATAGGGTAACTGCTAGTCATGCATATTCATCAACTGTATTCTTTTTATCACATCATTTGCACTGAAATGTTAATGTTTGTTGTTTCCCTTTGCCGTTTCCTAGGGTCCCCTGTTTGTCCTGTATGTCCTGGCTCAAAAAGCATTTCCAACTGGCAGCCAGTCAGCCGTAATGGAAGGAAACTGTTTGGTTGCAATGTCCTCTCGTGTGTGCTGGTGTCGATTGTCGGAAATGGGAGTGGGCGTGCGAGTGGGAGTGGGAGTGGCCGAGGTGTCTTTGACTTGACGTTGAAAGAAATCTGTCTGACAAATTACATGCGTAGCAGCTGCTGAATGCTTCGTTTGCCCATGTTGTCCTTTTTGCTGTTTCTACTCCTGCTCCTACTGTTCCTGCTCCTGCTCCAGCTCCTGCGCCACATTTGGCTCAGCCAACAATCATCAGCCAAATGCGCGTCAGTCACGCTGTCTGTCTGTCCGTCAACAAGGAGTGCAACGACCTTTTAGCTGAATGGGACTACGTTTTGGTAAATGACTTCAGCTCCTTTTTTTACAACTGCGGCCCAATGAGCTGTACCTTGAATAATTTGATAAAAGCGTCTGCAACCTGATTAGGCTAACAAAGTTTTCTCGGACTTGGCTAATAAGCTATAAGTGACCCAAGACTTTCGCATTAGATACAGATATATATTTAGTTTTATAAATACTTTAGGATATTTAAAAAAAAAAAAAAACAGTCAAATATATTTCTGCTATAAAAGAGTTAAGATAATATTTATAAATAATAAGAAAACATATATTATTTATAGTTATTTGTCTCTTTAACTTTTCTTCTTCTTATACAAACAAGAAAAACAACGTTGAAAACTTTCTCATAGTAAAAATTGTATTATTTACTTTACTATTTTTTTAAATAACAAAAAAAAAATAAAATAAAATAAATAAATAAATAAAATAATAATAAAAAAAATATTTATGGGGATTTAAAATTTTATAAAACAATATACATATACATATATATATTTTTTTTGTCTAAAGTTGCAAATAAAAAAGTAAATATTTTTATATTGAAGACAAGATTGCTAGCACTTTATAATTTTTTTTTTAATAAATTAAAAAAAAAGATATATACTTTGTTTATTATTTAATATAACATTTTTGTTTAGAAGACTTTAATTTAATTAAATAAAAAAAAAAAAAGGATTTCATTAAAATAATTAATTGTATTTGTTTGTGTGGCTTTATATTTTATAAAAAAGATTTTAATATATATTTTTAAAAATTGTTTTTAAGCGCTTGTTTAAAATAATAAGAATCACTTTACAAGTTGTTGCTGATTTAAAGTCTCTGTAGAATTAGTGCGCGGTATTTGACAAAAATATTTAAAGTATAAAACTCAGACTAAGATTTTTGTTAAAGACATCATATAAAATTCTTAAAACTAAAGCACTTTAGTTTTATTTTTTTTTTCTAACGACTATTTGGCATTTTAAGCTCCGTCCAGGCATTCCTGTCACACTCTATTGCCCCATCATCGGCTTTGAAGTGCTTAACCCTCGCATTCAACAGTTATAAATGATTATGCGTACAAATTGTCGCTATCTTGATAAATTCGCATGCACAGCACAGGACGTGAGAGGACCTTTCGAAAATGGTATTTCTTCTATTGTTTGGCCAACATATTCACACGCACACACACACCATATGAAAGATACAAATGTATCTCAGAAATGTATCTAATGCTTACCATTGTTATGCGTCGCCAGTTGCCGCCTTGGCACATGGTCCACATCCTCGACTGCGTTTCGCACAAATTCCCAAACGGCACGCACTTATTTTTCTTTTTTTTCACCACGTTGTGTTTTGAGGTTCTCAAAATATTTGGCAAACGTTTCTATGATTTCTCGAATTTCACGAATTTTGCGAATTTCTCTGTTATTTTTCACTGTCTGAATTATTTGTGTTGCTGCCTGCGGCCGACGGCCTGCAGAGTTATTTGTTTATTTACGCTGCGTTCTGCTAATTTGAATTAGCTCTGCCAGCGTTGCGCAGTCGTCGTCGTTGCCGTCGTCGCTGTCGCCGTCAGAGTACCGTTGGATTTACGCACTGTTGCTTTTGTTTCGCTTTTAGCGAAACTAGAGGTTTCGCTTATCGCTTATGCGCTCGGCCCGGCTCGCTGCTGCGACTGCCAATGCCAACTGCACGTTTCAGCTTTGTTTTGCATACTGCGCGCCGCAGTTGCCGGCGAATGTTGTTGTGGTGCATGCGACGCCCCCGACTGCAGAACTGATGCCCCGACGAGACGCCAGCCTCGTGTGCTCACTCGGCAAAATTGGCTAACTGTTCATGCTCGTGTGTTTTTCATCTGTTCGCTTCGTATTCGCTTTCTGCTCATAACGAACTGCATGCATGTCTCACATTGCAAGTGCACTGGGAAAAAAAGTGTAGTAGTTTAAATATATGAAAAGTATTAGAAATTTCTAAAAAATCATATGGTAACTACATAAACTGAACAAGAACGAACAACTTTATTATAATATTCATTTGTTGGCCAAAATTTTATATAACTGTAAAGTATGTCTTCACTGCAAGATTTTGGGAATTCGACTAAAAAATATATAAATAAACATATATTTAATATTGAGTGTATGCCTAACAAATTTAAAGACTTGCCACGCTTATACTTAGTGCATGCATAAAATATTCTCTACCTTTAATGTGGGTGAAAAGTTTCTACTCAGCAGGCCAAACAAACACACAGAAATACAGACAGACACTCGGAAGGACAGGCGAACCAACAACAAAAGAAACTTTTAATAAAAGCACCACAAAGACTTTTCTCAGTGTCTATTACAATTAATAACACATGGCATAGACTGCTCTATATCTCTCTCACTCTATTTCTGTCTCCTTCAGTGTCATATGTTTGAGCTGTGGCTCTCTTATACTCACGCGATTATAAGTACTAGTATTTTTGCCGGCAAACTTTCACTTTCAGCAACTGCGCTGCTGCTGTTAACATAGCAGGCAACTGTTAAGCGCTGACAGCGCTGTTAGTGTGCAGCTAGGACATTTGTTGATTGCACACTGATTAAATGCCGAATCGATTCGGTTTATGTGCGATTGCTTCCAGCTGTGGGACTCATTAGGCTAATTAAACAGGTGGGAAATGGATTTTAAATATCAATTTCTAATTGAAAATCAGAAAGGTTTTTTTCTTTTCCCATTTGATTTGGATGAACTTGTCTGTAGCAGAGATGAAACGAGAAATTTCTCGGAATTTTAGATATTATTAGATGCAGCCTGACTATATTAAAGGAACTAATTTCAATTATTGGGCAAGGCTGATGCAAAAATGTCATGAAATTCAAGGAATTTTAGAGCTATGTCTACTCTATGAAGAGTAAAAATTCAGATAATTGGTAAGTCATGAAATTCGTTTAATTTTTAATTTCTTAGCATTTGTTATCTGAAGGAAATATTTTTTCAGTTGAAAATTGTCAGAGCTAAGTCAAGTGTGAAATACGATTTTGTAATAGACTTTCTTTATGTTAGGCTTAAATTTCTTTGAAACTATTTTTTCCTATCATATCATATAGATTTTTCAATATATTTCAGAAGAATTTAGTAAACTGCTAAGCAAAGTAGAAAGTCAGAAAGTATTTGAGTTCACCAAATTCGCTCAAAAAGTAATTAGAAATAAATAAAATTTTGCTGTAACTTTTTTGGGCCAACTCTTGTTGTTGTTGTAAATTTGTAATAATTTGAATGTGCAACAAAAGGATTCTTTGCTAGGAATTGAAACTTTGACTTAGGCATCAGCAGGAAAACATAAAAGTAGAAACAGAAAACAGCGTTAGACAAGTTCTAAGGATTCAAAAGAGATAGATATATAGATAGACGGAGGAAGAGGGAGAAAGGGAGAGATAGAAAATATATGGCAGCTGTGTTCTTTTGGACTGCGCCTTAGTTCGTCTTTAGAGCAAAACTTTTAATCCTTCTGCCTGCACTTCCATCACTCTCTCCCTCTCTCTCTCTCTCTCTGTCTCTTTCTCTGTCTGCCTGTCTCACTCATATTTCAGTTATTTTGCTCTCCAACTGAAATCCTCTAACGCTGACACTGAAAAGTGCTTAGAGTGCGAACTGGCTGAGCTGTTTATTGTGTTTACAATTCTCGCCCGACGTTAGGGGGCAAAGGACTGCAACTCGACGATGACCCACCCAGGCTGGTTTTAGCCGACTTGCTGTGCATTTTAGAAAAACTTTAATTAAATAAAAGCCACAACTGTTGACAGAATTGTTTGTGGTATTGATCAAAATTCAATTTAAAAATTGTTTTCTAAATCTACTGAATGTTGCACATTGAATTTAAGGCAAATGTGAAGAGCTGTAAGCTACAGCTCCTTCCTTAATCAACCTTGTTGCTAGGCTATTAATTAGTCAGCATTGCTCAGCTAAGGAGCTGAGCGGCATCAAAGCCTTTTAAGATTTTCAACTTTAAGCAGCCGATTCTAAAATATGTAAAACACAATAAATTAAATATTCTTTGGCTCCACAAAAGTTGCTGATATTTGGCAAAAGTTTTTATTGTGGTTATGCAAAGAGGATGTCTGGGAATGCAGACTAGGCGTATGCCAAACGTCTTCTTAGCACTTTATTCCAGATATATACACATTTACATAGACACATATATATATATATATATATATATATATATATATATATATATATATATATTTGTTTAGACAGTTTTAAGGCTAGCTCACAGAATTGAAAGGGGCATATTGGTTTTGTTTCAAGATGTTTTAGCTGTAAGAATGGAAGACAGTGATATTATAATGTATTCTCAATTCAATTTGAAAGTTTCAAGATACTATGATAAAAGCTTGTAACTTTCGAGTTGAGTTGAGAATCCATTATAGGAGATATACGGTTGTTGACCTTCTCTCTATTAATTTGTATAGAAAACCTTATATTTGTACAACCCTTAGGAGCGTTTCGAATTAAATAGATCTTCACTGTAGAACATTTATTTATATATTCCTCTGATAGCCTACTAAGAAGGAGAGCCATAATCTTCAGTAGATTTAGCGGAATACTCTCTAAGTTTTAGCTGGGGGATCACAATCGATATCTTTATCGATAGATCAATTCATTATATTTTTAATCCATTGAAAAGTATTGATTTTTGCGCAATTTTAACCAACTTTGCAAACGAGTATTGTACAGTGTATATCCTTTGGTCATGCTTCACTCAAATATTCTTTCTTCGTTCTATTCGAAAGTTGTGGGCAAGTGTGTTTCAGTAAAGTTTTCGACAAGTTTTATGGTAAATTTAATTTGGCTTACGAACCTAAACAGCCAAAGTTGAACTTTAAGAACTTTGCGCAGTAAAGCTGCATAAATAGAAGTCGATGATTTTGCAGCATCTCAGCATAGATACATAATTAAATTGTTGATATAAACGATTGATAATGTAAATGTATTTGCGAATTCGCCATGATTTTCAGTCGATTGATTTTCGCTTTGTAAACAAATTCTAATTACATTGTGCTAAATGTTTCGGGGTCGCTTCGAATAGATAAATGTTGAAATTAATTTACAGCTCTCATTTCATTACAGTTTTATTGCCAATTTTCGGTTTTAAGTGCATTATTAAATGCTGATAGAGCAATAAAACATAAATGTGCTGCCCACATAACAAATGCGCGAAAATAATTACACTGCATTGGGCATTAATTAATAGCTGGCAACACTTTTTTCGGGGCCAAACATTGAACACGAAATAGAACAAAAAATCGAGCCAAGCTGGATGCGCCCAGCCGCAGAATACCCGTTCAGAAATAGCTACAGTTATACTACATATTGGGAATTTAGAGCTTGTTGAGCATCAGTCCGGGTCGGATTATTTGATTTATATATGATATGAGCATTTCCAGAGATTCATTTCATTCTTATTCATTCTGATTTTGCAAGAGCTCAAAATAGGAGCTTATAGTATATCATTTTATATAAATGTATATGCATATATGTAAACACCTTTGGGTACGTTTTCTATATCTTGTTGGTTATATCAATTGTCGTAACGTCGCCTAATTCCAGAGATTATTCCAGCTGTCGAGTATATTTATTTTCTATGTTTACCAAACTCCCAAGTTAAATTAACATAATTAATAATTATGTCATGTGAGTGCTCTGAATATAGTTAAAGTGCTAAATTCTTTGCTCTAAACGATTCGGAAATATCGAAGGACTTTTACGGAAGACTATACAGTAACAAAGCAGGTCAGCTTTAAAAATGTGATAGATCTTGATCTTTAACATTTCAAATTTATGAACATACTGAAACACTAGATAATAAATAAGAGTATGAATGTTTTAATACTATATAATAATTGCCAAGCATTGTACTGTATTTAATTTAATAAAAAAAATAAAAATAAAAAATATAAAATATTAAAAAATAAAAAAAAATTGAAAATATTTATATTGAAATTTTGTTTCAAATGTAAAATGCTTCGCATCTATATACAACCTGATGGGGAAACATTTTATATCAAAGTAGTGAAAACACAAAGCCAATATACTCACCTTTGCTCACCTTTCACGAGTATCTGGCACAACATATATTCATATATAATTACTAGGTGTTTAGCGTGTTTATTTTCTTAAAAATTTATGGCGACAGCTGGTAATTAAGTCATGGGCTTTTGTAAATGAATATGCATAAACATTAATTAGCCACGTAAATAATCGAAATTACAAATAAAATCAATGCAAGCGAAGAGTTTTACTGTGGGCCATCAAACTTAGATGCATTATGAAATGAGCTGTGCGACAAAAATTTGAGTGCCTCTTTGGCTGTCAATCAAAGCGACGACACGCTGTCACCCGCTAGCTAGATGCAGCTGCAGATAGAGATAGAGATGCTGTCGCTGTTGCTGTTGCTGTTGCTGTTGCTGTTGCAGCTGCAAATGGAGACGACGATGAGGCCGCTGAGGCCTACGAGATGGATGTGTGTACGAGTTGGCTAGCTGGCGGGCTGGCTGGCTGTCAAAAAATGATTGACATGCACAAGTGAATGCTTCTGTTCTAGCCAAATGAATGTTGACCGAAATGGGATCGTGCTGGTTGCAGAGGGGCAGCAGGGGGCAACAGGGGGTGGTGGATAGCACGCAGTTGACCTTAAGCACGCCCACCCGGGCAAACGTCAAATGATTTGCATTTCACCGAGCCATATGCATATCTCACTTTGCTTTATTTTCTTTTTTCTTTTTTTGGCTAGCTCGGTTCATTGGACTCGGCCGAGCGGTTTATTTAAGTGCCTGCGGATATGTGCGGACCACATTCAGCAAATATTCGGGCTACTTGTTTGCCCAGAAGTCTGGCAAT